AACTCTGTATATGGTGTCCTTTAAAGTAGCCTTACACGGACCTATTACGACTCGTGAGTGTGTTTAACACAAACCTTTCATATAAAAACACAACAGAAATGCCCTAGAACAGCAATAATACGGTAAACCTACATCACTTGTGTAAGCTAAAATGTGGGTAGATTTGAGTTTTAAAAAAAAAAAAAAAAAAAAAAAAAAAGGAAAGGAAAAGGAAAGCAGTGGCTTTAAACCAACAATGTCATGCGGCCATAAACCACACACTGATCTCCACCGACTGACCTTGACATTGGAATGTGCTGCAACAGCGCAGAATTGAACGTTAATCCTCGTTTCAATCATTCTGACAACACACTACATTCAAAATAATGATAATATTGCTTAGCATGATCAATCTGTGGGCAAAACTCTAATGACTAGCTAGCAGCTGTGGTCAATTCAATCCATATACCCCATTTGCTCAAATTCGGACAACGAAAAAAAAATTACTCGCCCGAAGTTTTAAACATGCACATCTCTTCATCAGGGCATCCGTGACTCGAGTTTTCCAATAGTATGGGCTATTTAATTACAGTCGACTTTTTATTAACACGTTTGAAGCACACAAAGACGCGCTAGCGAGTTAGCCGGCCGGCCTCCATCGGTTGCCGGGTTCAAGATAGTTAGGTCGAGCCATTGAGGTCGCAGCCAGCTCAGTAGAATTGTTTTGTAGGAGTGAATCCACCAGGAGATAGCCTGGAAACTTTAAGATAGTTCATATGAAACACAGTGATAAGTAACTACATTTAAGGTATACGATAATACGGAACCGGAAAACCACATACGCGAGCTCTTCATTAAAACAACACAGCAATAGAACGGCATTTAGCGAGGTTTTAAGGGCGACAAGAACTCCAAATTAATTTGCCACGTCAAAAGGAAACCATCAGCTACTGAATAATTATGACACGTCTAAAGACCATTGCTTTAAAACTCACAGTTCCTCTGCTGTAAAGTCTGGCAAGCTTGAGCAGCAAGGACCGCAGGACTTTTGGATAAAGCAGTAGCAGACCTGGTCAGAGAGCTGAGAACCTTTAGATAACCTGCCATGTTTAGCTGATATACGGCTTCTGTTCGACCACTCCGAACGAAATGAAGAGCAGAATGAATTACAGTGAACGGCAATATGCCTGTGTGGGCCCCCCACCCCCCACGTTAAGGGGAAGAGGAGGGGCTACGAGCTAGCGCCGTCTGTACCAACGTCATCGTTCATGCAGTAAGACAGTTTTTCAACGACCGTGGCGAATTTGGAAGGAAGCTTCTTATAAAAATCACACAGTGACGTTATATACAGTGGGACCAGCATCTTGTCCAGTCGAAAAAAGATATTATTTAGAGTGTTGCGGAAGCGGAAGCAGCACACTAAGTAAGTGTTATCCGATTTTATTATTTGTCAGCTGTTCATTCTGAGATGTATACCCAGAATTCAATTCCCCCCCCCCCCCCCCCCCCCCCCCC